TCCAGCAGCTGTTTGATTTCCAGCATGAAAATTTTGGGCATATGCCAGAGTACTGGTACAGAGGAAGAATATGGTAACTCTTGAGGCACAACAAAAGGCAACATTTCAATAAAATCATCAGCCAAGAAGAGCGCAACTCATGCACTTCAACTAATTTCTTGAGCTGCCCCTGCAGCTCTGGCTCCGGCTGCCCATGCTCCTTATCTCTGTCTGGAGTGAGGTCTAAATGCACAATAAATGGAAAACTAACAACTGTTCATGCATAGGTAGACACGGGATCTATTGTTATTGTTGTTATTCGTGTTGTCAGCTGGCCCTAAAGGTAGTGGCGAGCACCTTTTCAGTTACCTGTGTAGCACAATTTGATTAGAAAAATATGCTAACACCTCACGCTGACCAAACAATGCCATGCTTCATCATCAATTAGAGTTACCTTTCCACAGGGCAGGATCAAGGCAGCTCTTTTATTAAAGCAAGAGCATACCAAAAAAGAAACACCTTTTGGCCACTACTGTAAGCCAGGCCTTTGTTCTCTTCCCGCACCATCTTCGCTCTGCTCCATTAACATTTTCTAATTCTTTACGTTGCGCCTCTGGCATAAATTAAAAATCATGTATTTGAATATTTTTGGAGGCATTAAACGCCTTCCTTTTCCGTTTCGGCTTTCAGTTTTCGGTTTTCATTGTTGTGTTTGACTTAAGCCGATAAATGGGTAGAAAGAACTTTAACGCTTCTTACATGCCGCAGCTTTCAACAGATTTATTTATTTGCTTTTATGCATGTTGCCCTGGGCCAGGGCAGCTCCAACAAGGCATACAATTAATGTTGCATGCAACATAGTAACAACCGACGACCAATAACAGCCAGCGATTCAATTGCATGCAAATTGATGCCGGAAATTTAAACATTGTATTTCCTCAAAGGGAAAACCCGCAGTTGCCAAAGGTGCTGCAAGCCCAGCTACCAATCGGTAGGCTATCTACTTTTCAATCAAATTCAATTTGGCTTAATGCATAAATTCATTTTTTCTATGCACACACGTAAGGGTGTATGACAGCTACCTGAAAACAGGATTTGTTCTCCACTGAATGCTCATTATTTTGCCATTTTATAATGCGCACTCAAGTGTATGTGTGTGTGAGTGAGTGCGTGCGTGCTGAAGTGTCACTGTATGCAGACTCTTTATCAATCTCCCTCGCCCTTGTCCCTCTCTCTCTCTCTCTCTGACGCACTTCTCTCGAACGCACTTCTGGCGTATTTATTGAATACTTTTGCAGAGGTGAATGAATCGAATCAAATGATTTGAATTGTTTGCCAAGTGTCAAAAAGGGGTGTATCCAGCTGCGCGTGTGTGAGTGTGCGTGTGGGAGAATTGATGTTGAGTACACTCAAAAACTTCGCAGCACAACAACAATTAGCAACTAAGCTAGGTAGCTGGCAGATTTTAACTGTTTGTAAGATGAGCTACTCAATCTATAAGCTCTCAGAGTCAAAGCAAGCAATAATCAATTTTTATAATGGAAAGACTCAGAACCCCTGAAACATATGCACGAAATTATATACACATAGTTACATGAAAGGCAAATAATAAATACAAGGCAGGAAAATTTTAGGACAATGGCGAAACCGAAACAAGCGCATTACAAGCATATCAGTGAAAGGGACCCAGAGAGCGAGGCATAAGCGCAGACTCTCGAGCGGCACTGAACAATGGAGAACAAAGCATTGAGTGTGAAATAAAATGTGCACATAATATGTGTTATCAGAGCACAACAAAAAGGAAAGGAAAGCAGAAACCTTTTTATAAAATGGCTCTACCATAAGCAGGAGTTCTTGTGAAATAGGAGCTAGGTCATTTTACTTTGGTTTACGCAGGAGAGGTTGCATTGAGCACAATGACCGACTTGACCAAAACTAATCACAGACTTTTGTTCTTCTTCTCCTCTGCAGTTACGCAATGCCATCAATTGTCCTGGCTACTCGGATATTCATGGCACAAATGCAGGCAATAATCTGGACTTGGCCTTCAGGAAGGGTCAACAATGGAGCAACAAGCTGCAGCCAGCTGTCGCAACAGTCACAGCTGAGGAGCCCGCACAGAGTCGAACGCACAAGGTCTACGACAGCATGAAAAACTTTTTGCAGCGCAAGCTTTTCTCACAACCCTCGCGTGTGCAATGCGAGGAGCCGACCAGCGACTATGATGAGGTATGTACAGACTTAGAAAACAGCTTAAGGAATGTTTAAGCTAATGCATATTCATATTCCTTTTCAGCACGACCTTCTTGACTCCTCATACCAGGCAGACGCAGAGACAGACGAGGAGGCCGAGCTGCTGGCAATTTGTAGCTGCAGTTCGAGTCCGAGCAGCACACCTAAGCGTGTCAACAAATCGCCGCAAAAGTCGCTGCTGTCGCTCAACTGTTGGCAGAGCAGTCAGCCCAGCGACTCCAGCGGCAATGAAGAAGTAACGCCCGAAGACCAGGATGAGTCAGATGCTGGTATCTCCGATTGCTGTCAGCTGCTCAATGAGAACAGCAGCAGTGTTAGCAGACGGCGAAGCATCCTACGTAAACGTGCCACGCCTCGCTTTAGCACACACAGCAACAACACGGATGATGATGAGGATGCCGACGAGGAGCCAGAGCTACTGCAGTGTGCTTGGTATCAGCCGCGAATTACTCTGAAAGCGGCGCAAGAGCATCTGCAGTCGGCTACGCCCGGCTGCTTCTTACTGCGTCGCAGCACGCCACGCAGCTTCGAGCTCTGCCTGCGTCTCGAGCACAAAGTCAAGTGCTATGCGGTGCAGTGCAGCAGGAGCGAGATGTACAGTCTGAAAGGTGCACCAAAGCAGTTCAGCACGCTGAAGGCGCTGATCACTCATCATTCGGTAATGGCTGAGCAGCTGCCTCTTACATTGGACATGCCCAGAGAACGGGATCTGGTGAAGACCACGGCGATGCGCTATGCTGATGACTTTGAACCGCTTGAATCACTGCAACTCCTTGGCATACTGAAGAGCTTGCAGGCCAAGAGCTATGAGACATAGTTTTTAGATTAGTCGTGTACAAAATAAATGTATTTTATCGAACTGCAAAGGGAACGATAGGTGAAAAATTAATGCTAATTTCTACTTATATATATAGATATATATACATATATATATATTGTAGTCCTTGTGATATAGTTTACTATTAATTCGACCAGGTTTCTAGCTTTTAAGTCCCTGTGTAACATAAAGCCAATTTAAACCAATTATCTATATTCATAAGTCTTTCTATTTTGCAGTAAATTATACGAGCTATCGAATAAAAAGTAAGATTGAACAATGCAAATGCAACCCCCAATGCCTTTTCTGTTAGCATCCAGCCAGCCACGCCCTCTCGCTTCATTGTGCCGTATGTCTGCATCCTGGAGGGTAAGCTATGCTTGTGCTTCACTTACATATGATTAGTGCTTCAAGTGCCTCTCATTAATTTTTCAATTGCGGTTCAGAGCACTCTTCACCTCAATGCGTCCAGCAACATGTTGCCAACAAGGCCAAACGGCATGTTACACAGCATGATCAGCAACATTTTGACAGAATATGAAAAGGGGATAGGGACAAAAAGATATAGTCGAGTGCAAGGATATAGGCGAGTTAGAGCAATTTCTTAAGGAATTTTTGCCCCTGGAAATATGCAACGAAATTAATCGAGTTTGATCAAAATTCCTTAAGAGGGATATACTTATTTGGCTAAAACTAGGCTATATCCTTAGAGGTTGGGCAAGGATATATATTTTTGAGCATGTTGGTAACAGGAATATCGATTGGCATTTCAAAAATTTCACGATTCGATAAAAAATATCACCTCAAATTTTTACAAGGGGTATGGTCGAAAAATGACCCAGGTCCACCTTATCTCAGCCATTTAAAGGACTACCAGGATTTCCTTTATACCAAACGAAGCCAGAATCCTCCTTATGAAGAATTAGCAATCAGATTTATAAATATCCTTCAAGGAGCAGAGATATACATACTTTTGTTTCAACAAAAAACTGCGTATAACTCAGCCGTATCCTTGCGTATCCTGGCAAGTGGGGTGTCAAAATGTTAAGTGACACTAGGACTATTAACTGGCCAAAGGACATCGAAATCGACCTACTGCCTTGTGAGATATTGGCGATTTTGTGTGTTTTTAGTGATATCCTTGATTTCACAGGCCGCTTTGAAACGAAAAAAGCAAAGTGCTAGATTCTTAGATAACCCCGTAATTTTTCGATGGAAATCAATAGAGTTGGTCGTCCTTTTTTCGTTGCACCGCGCCGCTTCGTCCTGTGCAAGGATATAGTCGATTTAGAGCAAATTTTCAAGAAAGCAAAAAAATTGAAATTTGTAATGAGTTGCCCACGAACATATGCAATGGATACCTGAATTTGAGCAATTTATGCTGCAGCTAAAAGTATGCAACATTTTTTTCGTCCTGCATATTTTTCGGCTACTTGCTGGAAATTTCTGTTTGCCGGTAGCCCAGCCGCAAATGAAATTAAACTATTCACAGACTCTGCAATCGATCGATTTATATTCCTACCCCATTAAAGAAAAAGAAACAATCGGGTATACTATTTTCCATATATATATTTGTATTTCAAAGTAAATTGAAAACGAGACATTTTATTTATATACAAATTTTGCTGTTGTCCAAGTGCATTAAATTGAGCGCATGAAAGTATGCTACGCCATTCTGAAATACCCGATTTCGAATTAAATTTCCATTCTGCCGCAAAGTCTGCTATGTTTTTTGTTGCTGTAAGTCAAAAAAACAAATGTTATTTAAAAACAAAAAAAGGCACACAGAAATAAATCAATTAATACTGAAAATAATCACAATGAAGGGTTAATAAAAAATATATATAAATGCATGAAAACGCTAATTAAATATCATTAACCAAGATCTTAGACAAATACACTTAAGAAAAAATAGATTACACAATCACAATCCAGCTATCCATTTCACTTGTATTTTTCTGTCTGAATTTTCGACTCAAAATGCCCAACTTAAAACTATATTTTTCTCAAAAATACAAAATTTTGGTTGGCTCACCACTTCGTGGAGACATCATTGGTTGGCCTCTCTTCCACTTTGCGGTTACTACTTTCTGCTTCCGGTTACTAACAATGCAATGAGCAACGCTAAAAGTTTCGTATTTCTACTGTATCTCATCGGTGTATGGGTAAGTCACGTTCACTCAGGCTGCACAATATTCGTAATTTGTTTCTTTTATCCATTAGAGTCTGTCACATGGAAATAACGATACTACACTTATAAGAAGAAATGGCATAACAGTTTGCCAATACATTGATAATAAAGTCCTATTTGAAACCTTTGAGCGTGGCAAAGAAAATGATACCAAAATTAGAACGAATGTCTACTTTGGACCCCTTGAAACCCCACATTCAAGTGGTAATATTCACTGCATTATCCACTCGGCTCTCTTACTATCTGTCATTGTGCAGAAACTAGATTTATGGTATCGAAAGCTACGTTAGGTAATCATTAAATATTTCATTTAAGTTGTACCAGTGTCAGAAACATTTTAAAACGTTTTGAATGAATTGAATAAAATGAGAGCCATTTTACACACTCAACTCTCAAATAAACTCGGCTTCCAGCTCCAGCATGTTTAGTTTGTTTTCAAAGCTTTTGCTTTTCAAATCAAATTCACAATTGAGCCTAAGGATACGTAAGCACAGCATTGCATTTCAGTGGGGTGGGCACGCATTTTTTTTTTGAGTCTAATCAAGTCAAATTAAGAGTTGAGGCTGAACTATCCTTTTTATATGCACATAAATTTATAGGTAAATAGTACTAAACATTTAATTGACTACACTAAGATTTAGTTGACTCAAAGAGCAATTTTAACTTACTTTCAAAATATAAACATTAATCAGCAATTGATAAGAAACTCTGTCATAGATCACTAAACTATTGATTCGATTTACTTTAGAGAGCCTTATGTTAAAGAAACTTTATTGATAGGCATATGCACTATGTGCCGTGAATGTGCACATGTTCATTGCACAGTTTCCCAATGAATGTGAAGCGCGTGCTCGATTTTTGTCTAATTAGAAAGACTATTTTTATAATTCAATGGACTCCAAAAACTCCAACGGAAAGAGAGAGTTGTTGTGGCAAAATCAATAAATGCGACCAGTCAGATGCGATGATGGTCACCAGTCAGGCATGTCGAGCATGTAGGTAGATTCACCTGTAGCTGCCAGAACAAAGCAGATTGCAGCAGCAAAAGCAAGAGCAGGGAGCACCAAAGGTATGAATAACGTGTGCAATGCTGTTGCCAGGATTATCTGCAGTTTATATGCGATTTGTTTGCAAGCCAATGGGAGATTGAGCGGGGCAACAGCAACGGTAAGAGCTGCAGCAACTGCCACCGCTTGTTGCCATGGCGGCCGACGCTGGCTTTGTGTGTTCCCGATTGCGAATTGCAATTGACATTGCATAAATGTTGTGCCTTTTAATTAGAAGGCACTTCACATCCAACATCTCGATTATCTGCTGTGCATAATTAGAAGCATAAGCCGCAAACGCGTTTTGTGTGTTGAATGCGCTTAAAGCTGCCACGCATTGCGAAATGCTATAAATGCGAGAGCGAATAAGAGTTTGCAGGCGTGAGTGAAAGAGAGAGTAAAAGGAACGGAAATGATGTTCGTGCTGCTGTGCTCGAGTGTCCAACGAGGCGTGTAGTATGATGGCGTATAACACGCGCCAAGAAAGAGCCAGAGGAGTTGAGTGTAATGTGGCAAGTGGCGAGAAAATTGTGTCAGCACTCGCCGCAGTACTACCAACAGAAAACCCCTCTGCCAACTTATTAAGCTGATCAACAGCCCACGCAACTGACTCACTTACCCTTGGGCAACCTACTTTGACCTCAGCACAAATGGCAGCGTCTGAGCGTAAGCAACAAGGAGAAAAATCTACACTCAATTGTTTTCATTCCTATATGCATATATACATATGTTGCATATCTATATATGTGCATAAATGAATATATATATATATATATATATATATCAGTTGGCATTTAGCCAGCATGCATATTAAATGCAGCGCATCCTTAACAACAAAAAGCCGCCTCCTGCCCAACTGGGTCACCGGCAGAACGGAAGGAAGTCGGCAACAGTTGCGGCTGGGTGAATGCGCAACTAAAATGAAATTGATGAAAGTCAGTTAAATGCAGCGAGGATTCTGCAATTTTTAGCTGGCAGTAAGAGCAGCTTAAAGGCTTCATTTATTTTAAGCATCAACTGCGTTAATATGATCCAATTATATCGAGCAGAAAACATATATCAGCTAATTCACACAGCGAATCGATTTGAGATTGGAACAGATTTGAATTACAATGGAATATATAGTGTCAGATGCAATACTACGTGGCATGTGGAATTCATAGTGTTAAGCTTACTTTTATATCTTTCTCCCAGCTTTCTTACGAAGCAATACTAATTAATGTCTTTCCTCTGTAATAACATGCCTTTTATTAATTATGCTTTAATCGGGTGTATAAAATATAAATCCTGTCTCATTATTACTATTTCACATAACGATTTAATAAATTCTTATGTTGCCTGAATGCTGTTCCCTCTCTCACCTCTCTTCTCACACTTTCTTCTTTTGAAATAAAAGATTCGAATTTCGAAAAATATCCTTTTCATATTAATTATCCGTTTCCTGAGCTCACCAAAAGAGCAAAACGGAGCCAAGCAGACGAGTAAATCAAAAACCGAGCCACACATATACCTGGGCTGGGACATTGCACGAAAACTTTTAGCTTTTAATGCCCTTAATTAATCGATATATTCCCCCACACTCTCAATAGTAAGCTCAAAATGGCCAACGAACTCATAGCCAGACAAGCAATTAGAAAAACGTTGCAACAGCCGTCAAGTTGTGGCCCCAAAAAGAGGCGGCAACAATGCCAGCCCGACTGTCCCCACAAGCAATCCCAACAACAACAACAAAAAGTGTAGCAGCAGAAAGAGCATCCCGCCCACATGCCCAGCAGCCACCCGCATTACTCATATGATTTACAGTTTCCCATAGAGGGAGCGACGTCTCTCAAAGGCCTTTGGCAGAAGTTAAGAAATGAAATTTCAAGAAAATTGCACAAACAACAGGAAGTCGACAAACGGCACCCGGACCGAAGCCGAGAGTGAGAAAATATTGTAAAGCTCTGGGCTATAAAGTAAATGCACACGATACATATCGACACTAGACGGAGGGCGGATAAAGGAAAGCAAAGAAAACAACAAACAGAATGCGAACAGTAGAAAAGTCGTTATCTTAATTACTTTTATAGCTTCGATTTCGAGGGGGCACAACAAGCACAACAAGAATATCTACAAAATACGTGCGTCTAAGCCAAAAAAAGAGACAGCACCAAGCTTAACTTTAAGCTAAGACTTTAAAGCTTGCCCACAAGCATTAAGTACTTATAAATAGAGCAACACGCATGCTGTGAATGACATATACATGGAATAATATGATCTCAAGAAAGAAAGATTCCATCTCTCCCTTTCTCGTCGTATATATTCATTCTCATTATCTTTATCATTCTTATTCATTCTATTCTTGTGTTACTATACTCTTCTGATTCCCTATTATTAACTTATTCTTATATCTGCGCCTGCATCTCTTATCTCCGCTTCTCTTCAATCATCCACACCTCGCTTTCTCTACCACACACCCATATCTACATTTTCTACCGCCCTTACTTTTTTGCTATATGCCTTACACCATCTGATGCTGTCTCATTAGGCAGAAGGCTTCGCCATAGAAAGGCTGTGCAAATTTATGCACTTCATTATGACACATTTTGTCAGCTTTCATCTAGGCATATAGAGGGAGTGGTGAATGAGTGAATGAGTTGGTGCGCAGTGCGGGGCACGCGTGTTTGCTCAGTTAACACACACCCACTTAATGAAGTGGCGCAGTCATATAAAATCCCCCCCTGAGTATCGTGCTATTCGGGTTAGTGGAGCTCGTCCTTGAGCTCGCTCGCCTTATAGAAATTTAATGAGCTGCCAGATAAATAATACATGTGGCGCAGTTAATTCACACAGTTGAAACCTTTAAACTAGCACTTAATTAACATTGCATATACCGTGTTGGTGTCGGTACCGGGAATGATGCTGTCGATGCTAGAGTTTTTCAAAACAGCAAATCAATTTGCCCAGATGGCCGGAAGCATTGCAACGGATATGAAAGGCGACTGCCTGTGGCAATCCACAGCCATGACATGGCTTTTGAAACATAATAAACATCAACAAAAATAACAAGAACAGCAGCAGCAGCAACGACAAAGACAACAGCAGCAACAACAGCAAACAATATTCAGCTGAACAACAATAACAACTGCGAGGCTTTCGGAGTTGGAAATTATTTTGACATTTGGCTGTGGCCGCAAAAATATATTTGTGATTATATTCGGGGGCATCCCAAAAGTGCTAAGGATGCCAACATCAATGTGCTGTTGACAACTTGAAAGTAGCAACCGAAAGCACTCTAATAAGGTGGGCGTGGCTGCAGAGGCGGTGGGGGACGGACGGACGGGGTCTCGTCTGTTGGCATGACACTTTGCTCATTGAAGTGCGGCAAAGTTTTCGCTTGTTAATATTGAGACGCGCATTATTTATGCCAAACTTTTTAGCAACACTTTGCGATTGATGGGCGTGGCTGGCGTGTGCGTAACTCAGTGTCCGGGTTACTCTGGCTCGAGCAACTTTTAACGAGTTGCCGAGTACAAACTGCAAATGTTTGCACCTAGTCACAAGCACTTTTTGCGCTCACTTTTGCATCAAATGCAAGGCAGAAAAGTTGCAAGCTGCTTAACTCGTTGCAAGCACACAGAATAGAAGTTGCTTGCAACTTGACAATCATACGCAACGTTGCGCCTGCAAGCAGTTGCCTTTCCACTTGTGGATGTACTTGAAGCGCCTTTAAGCTCGACTCGAGCGTCTGCTACTGCTTATTGCAGATGCCGAGCAAAGGGCGAAAGCATTTCATGATTACCACATGAGAAATGTTGAAAATTTCATTAGTTGGCTGCGTTGTTCCTCCACACAACTGGGCAGCTCTAAAGTGGGCAAAGAAAAGCTGACCCCAAACCAAAATTAAGATAATTTTCTCTTGTTGCTATCGTATAACTTTTTAATAAAGTGCTAACTATATGAATAGCACATGAAAGAGAGAGAGAGAGAGCGAGAGACAGAGAGAGAAATATGTACATTAACAATGAATTCATTAAGATTGCATTATGTACTATCAAATGTAAGTATATATCTCCCGTATATATAACCCTACAATAGTCGAATGGTATCGGTTCCATTTCGTACATTCTGCTTCATTTTTTATAGTTTCACACTTTTAGAGTCCTTAATTAATATGGCTGCACACATCATCAAGGGAGCCATGTAAGCATCATCTACATGGCAACAACTATGCATAAAGCTTTCCAGCTCAGCTTCAGTTAGTTTCACCAACAAGTGGTAAGCGCATAGAATAGCAACAACAACAACA